ACTTTTTTTTTTTTTTTTTTTTTAGATTGCAAAAACAGATCCCGTGTAGAGGTGGAACGGTTATTGGGGGCTCACATAATTGAATTAGCTGGTCATTGGTAGCCAAACATCGATGGGCTGTGTAGTGACCTATTTGGGAGGACATGGCCCAGCTTCTTTAATGACGACCTCCTTATTACCTTAGAAAGCATAATGATTGGCTAGGGTTGTCTTAGATTCTGCCCTTTGATGGCCAACCTATGGAATCCCACAGGTTGAAGGTTCTTTGCCAGGTGATTCTTAAGGAATAGGCTGCCTTTGTTGACTTGTTGATACAAACAGTTGTTTTCCACTCATTGACCCGGAACAGCTGTTGAGATCAGGACTTCCGATTTCACTTTCTGCATGCTCGTTCCAGGTCAGTGACTACATCAGCATTGTATCGGGGTGACAACCGGGCAATTAGAATTGCAAGATGGAAGTCAGCCGCGTTTATCTTCCATATTTCTCACAGTGCAGGTTCATTTTTTGGCCTCCGTGTCCTTTTAGGATCCTTACGACATATTGGTGAGCACTGGAGAATGAAGACCTCGGCTCTGCAGGACTAGTAAAAAGCTTTAGTAGCATATTCAAGATCGATAAACTTGTACCAGTTGCACGGAAGTATCTTCAGATGGCATTATGTTCCTCCCACGCATGGCTGGTCCTCCGAAATTCCATTGTAATTCTTTCCATGGAGAGAACATTTCCAGCCTTGCCATGCCAATTGGAAAGCAATGCCTATGATGTCATTAAGTGACGTCATCCAAGACATCTTCTTGGATCGCATTCCGGGTGATGCGGGCTCTCGGCACATAATGATAAATATATCCACCTCTCTGAGGGTTGTTTTTGTTTTGTAGGACGAGAGCTCTGGGAGTTGGTCTGATGGACCAAACACACCTGACCAACTCCAAATGGGAGCGATGGTGGTTACAATTGGGTCACCTGATTAGTGTGGATAGTGGCCGGGTTTATCCTCGATAAGTAAATGAACAATCTAATGTTACCTTTCCTACTTATAGTTAATAAGACATGAAACTAAAAACATTACGTTCATGGCCATTTTCATAATCGATTAGTTGCCCGATAATTTTTTCCAACTAATCGACTGGTTGTATAAAAAAATCTCCCACTCTCCTTTTCTCCCCCCCCTTTTCTCACTCTCTCTCCACCCCTCTTCTCTCTCTCCACCCCTCTTCTCTCTCTCCACCCCTCTCTTCTCTCTCCACCCCTCTTCTCTCTCTCCACCCCTCTTCTCTCTCTCCACCCCTCTTCTCTCTCTCCACCCCTCTTCTCTCTCTCCACCCCTCTTCTCTCTCTCCTATCATTGCCAACTATTGTCATTATCGATTGTTGCAGCCCCAGTGCCCTTTTCCAACTGTTGCCCAAGGCACAGGGCAAGTTTGCCTGTTGGGTCAAAGTGTTTCGGTTTTTTTCGCACCAGTCCCTGCTGGCGGCCCCGGGCAAACCATCTGGCATTATGATTTAGCACAAGCTAGCTAGGGGAGGCTGGTTGGTTAATTAAGGAAGGACTCGTCCACACAAAGTGAAATGCTTGGCCAATTAACACTGTGTTCAGTTCTGATAAATAAGCAGCTTCCTTCCCGATGGCTCATGGCAATTATCTGCTGTATGAGAATGTATAGAGAACCAACTCCTAATTATGATAATGCGCGCTGTTTAATAAGTTAAATTATCGTTATTTGCAGCGAGGGCTGGGGCTCTTCCGCTGCAACTTGCCATAGCAACTGTGAGACGGGAACGTGGCAAATACATCGCGGATCGCGTGAGGAGAGATGTGATCTGAAGATTATTCAACGACACTCTACTGCCATTGTCCAATGACACTGCATGGGATATATATCTATCTATATATATACCTATATAGATAGATATATAGATAGATAGATAGATATACACCTGTATTTACATCTTCCAGCTGCTGCCAAGAAAGTTTAATGGCAGGGGTGAACAGATGTACGAATGGTGAAACCACAGCTACAAGTTCCGCTCATTCCATGTCATGAGTTGTGAAACTACAATGATGTTCTCTTCCCATACTAAAGCATATTCTGGAAGACGGATCTGTAAATAAGGGTCCCCCCTTGTCTTTGTGTGAGCCGTCTCTCTCTTTTTGTTCTGCCCACAGTCTAGACACAAAAGATTATCTGGCACACACTACTTTTATTTGTCTTAAATAAATACTTAATTGTATGTTGTGGGCTTGTTCATGTAATGACCAGACATCCAGGAAGACGGTTTTATAGGATCATTGCAAAGGGTTAAATAATTGCAGGACTGCTTGGCGCCACAAGGTGGCGATGAAGATAACTTTCCTTTTAAATTGTGTGCGGTGCCGTGTCCTTTGTGTAGGGACCATCCTAGGGGAGTGGGCGTGTGTTCTGGTTGCATGCGCTGCAAATATTTAGACTTTCCGAAAGAAAAAGGAAACTTGTTTATAAAAATAGGACTATTTGTTTAAGTTTTGTATGTCAGGTGTAATTCTCAGTATCTGTTCTTGTTCTGCATGTATGGACTCTGCACAGTACCACTTCTCTTGTTCTGTACGCCGGGTGTCATTCTCCGTATCTGATCTTATTCTGTAAGTATGGACTCTGCACAGTACCACTTCTCTTGTCCTGTGTGCCGGGTGTCATTCTCCGTATCTGTTCTTATTCTGTATGTATGGACTCTGCACAGTACCACTTCTCTTGTCCTGAATGCCGGGTCTCATTCTCCGTATCTGATCTTATTCTGTAAGTATGGACTCTGCACAGTACCACTTCTCATGTCCTGTGTGCCGGGTCTCATTCTCCGTATCTGATCTTATTCTGTATGTATGGACTCTGCACAGTACCACTTCTCTTGTCCTGTATGCCGGGTGTCATTCTCAGTATCTGTTCTTATTCTGTATGTATGGACTCTGCACAGTACCACTTCTCTTGTCCTGTATGCCGGGTGTCATTCTCAGTATCTGTTCTTATTCTGTATGTATGGACTCTGCACAGTACCACTTCTCTTGTCCTGTGTGCCGGGTGTCATTCTCGGTATCTGTTCTTATTCTGTATGTATGGACCCATTTGCAGGAAATCCTTTTGTACGGCTCCAGCGGGTGATATTCGGATCTCTATTGCCGCATAACACGACCCGTCATTTCAAAGGAAAGCCCCGGGTTGTCTGCACACCGACGTCTCTGTGTGTTGTGTTGTAATTCCATCTGTCACATGTACAATATAAAGCTCCTT